GCCGTTCAAGTGTGTCTCAACTGCATCCGCGGCTTCCCGCCGAGCGCCGCGGCGCAAGTGCTGGCGACGTGGGACCACGCGTACACGCTCGGTATTATGCACGCGATCCAGATGGAGCACCATGGCGCGTTTCTGCAAAAGAGCCCAACCAAAGAGTCGATTGCGAGCACGTTTACGCCGCCGTCGCTTTCGTCGCTGCGCGAAGACAGTTTGGCGACGCGCGCGGCCACCGAGCTTCTCTGGTCGATCATGAACACGAGCGCGAGCACGGACCAGCCGCTCCGCGTCTCCCTCGCATTGCTCTACCGCAAAATCTGGGGCGACGCGACGCCGATCTGCCTCGCCCACTCGGTGCAGGTAGTACCGATGCTGCAATGTCATGGGGGTCCTAACGGGTGGCAGGAAAAACCGGCCAACTGGGCCGGCGGCTATGAGTCGCTGCGCAAGCTCATCGAAGAGAGCAAGTCCAACACCAAGGCGTCGTCGTCGTCGGGGCACCCGATGAAGTCAAAGCACCACAGCGACGACCACAGTAAGAAGCGCCCGCCGAGCGGGTCGCCCCCGGTACGCGCCGACTCACAGTTTTATCATGTATGCCATTGTGATGGATAGCTGCCCGGCATGGCAGGGCCCTTTGATCAGCTCAAGGGCAAGAAGCTCAAGCTCAAGCTCGGCGAAACCGTGGTCATGTCGCACAAGCTCTAAGACGCTCTTCATCACGGAAGCAAGACCACCGACAATGGACATGACTACTGTCTTGTCGATAATCAATGCTACAATGGACGCACTTACTTGGTTTATACTACGTGTGGAGGAATGTCTGATCACGCTCAGACGTCTGGTCTGGCGCAGAGTGACGTCTGGTGTTTTCCACGACCAGGTGGACGGTGAAAAATTGCGTTGAAGCGGTGTGTTTCATCGGTGAGCCAACTGAAACGGCGGGAAAGGCCGACCAGTCGGAGCATGAACAACGCAGGCGACGAGAGCGTCGCCGCCGTGCTCGAGACGCTCCACGCGATGAAGCCCGAGAAAGCAAAGCTGCAACGCGCCTCGCGCCTGCCTCCGTACCGGGGCACCCCCGTCGTACGCCTCTTTTCCATATCAGAACACCGTGGTGATGACGATGGCAGAGAGCCGCGAGCACGACCAGTTTGGTCCCGCGCCTCCGCAAGCCGGTTGAAAAGCCCGTGCGTCGTCTACCTGCCATCGTTTGAAGATGACAGTTTGTGTAGGACGCCCTCACGCGTGCGCAGGAGCTGCAGGTGACGGTCGCCGACCTCACGCAGCGCTTGCGTGACAAGAGCGACCAGTGCGACGAGCTCCATAGCTGCGTGAGCCGACTCAACAAGGAGCTACGCCTCTCGGTACGGCGCTGCGCGTGACGACCTATACGCGAGGATGTGCCCTAGGTGGACCAAGCGTCGCTCCTGCAACACTCCACGGCCGAGAAAGACAAGGAAATCCAGACGCTGCGGGCGCACGTCGACGACTTGTACCAAGTGCAGCAGCAGCTCCGCTCCGAGAGTCTCCAGTCCAAGGCCGCGCTCACCCGTCGACTGTCGGGCGACATGGTCCTGCCACTCTCACCCGAGTCCAACGAGATGCTGGCGCGGCGGCCCTCAGCGGCCCTCGACGATACGATGGAGTGTCTGCGCCTCGAGCTCGCACAACTCGATGCGCAGTGCCAGACGCAATCCAGTGAGCTGCAGCGCTTGGCGGCCGAGAACACGGCTCTGCTTGCGTCGATGCGGCAGTGGCATGCGATGCTGTCGCTACCGCCCGTTGACGTTCGTGCTGCGCCAACACTATGCCAAAGCTCATCACGCTTGCTAGGCGGACGAGGGGCTCACGGAGGCGCTGACGCATGCGCTGTCGCGTGATTTTCTGGCGCAAGATCGTCGTCGCGACGAGCTTGTAGCGACCTGCGATGCACAGCGGAAGGAGCTCCTCGCCTTCCGTCTCGAGAAGGCACTGCAGCGCCGGTGCCGCGCCACCTCCGACTCGATCTACGACTTGGAAGCGCAAGTGGAGGCTCTGGCAGCAGCGAACGCGCAATTGCTTGACGCAGCGCAGAACGAAGCGGCGAGAAGTGAGCTTTGGGCGACGCAGTGCAACGTCGTGCAAGAAGCCCTCGAGGCGCTGAGTGACCGGTGGGAAGCATCTCTCGACGACGAGCGACAGGCGGCAGACGAGAAGCTCGGCGCCGCGCACGAGCACATTGAAGTGCTCGAGCAGCAGCTGCACGACGAGGCCAGAGACCACGAGGCGGTGGTGGAAGCGTACGCAACGTGCCGAGAGGACCTGCTCCAGGCCCAAGAGGCGCTGAACGCGGCCACAAACCACTGCGAGTTTGTGCAGAGCCAGCTCCAGAAGCTCCAGTGGACGCGCTGCCAGGCGCGCTGCCGATGCTGTGACGAGAGCACGCAAACGACAACAACGACGACATCGGCAGCATCGACGCCTTGTCCGGAGGACGTGCCACGTCACGAGGCGGTGAGCTTTAAAGAAAGTGCCATCGTGGCGGCCGGCGACTTTGCGTCGGCGGTTGTCGGCGGTGCCAGCGTCCTCCCCGACGACACAAGCACCCTAAGCATCAATAGCGGTGATGCCAGCAACGGCAAGGCGAACGGTTCGGCAAAATGCAGTAAGCAAGGACCCTCGCCGGTCAAGGCGACGTCCCAGTGGATCACGGTCATTGAGGCGATGCAGGCCAACCACGAGCTGGAACTCGACGTTCTCCGGTCGGACGTCGCGGACGCACTCACCAAGCTTGCAGCGCGCGACGCCGAGGTCGACCAGCTTGCCTTGGAGCTTGAGGCGAGTCACTGCGCGGCAGGCAAGCTGCGCGTCGACTATGACGTGGCAGCGGGTGGGCCGTGGGCGCCAATAGCAGCCTTTCCACAGACACCAGGCGGTCGCCTCTTTGCGGTTGCGTGCGAGACGTTTGTAAGCGTCGACAGCGAAAGTCAAACCGAGATGATCGCACCGTCGATCGCAGAGCTGCTCGACGACCTCCCGCCTCCACAAGAGCGCGCGGTCGTGCTTGAAATGGTTCTGGAAGAGCTTGGGCTCGCGCACGCCGACGTCGAGTCGCACCGTGTCTGCGTGCGCGATGTTCAGATGCAACTCCTCGCGACAGAATCGCAGCTCGCGAAAGCCGTCGAAACAAATCACATGCAAGCGGAAGAGACCGCGTGCCACCGCCAAGTCCACAGTCCTCTTCGCGACGAGCTGCTCCCGAGCGCAATATCACCCGTCGACCTCGGCGATTGCAACATCGAGAGAGAGCAACTGTACATGCACATTGAAGACCTCCGAGCGACCCACATTGCGTCGACCGATGCAGCCCAAATGGCACTGACGCTTCTAGAGAGCGAGGCCACAGCGCTCTCCACCCGTGCTGCCGAAGCCGACATCCGCATTGCACGGCTCACATCGGCGTTAGACGAGGCAGAAAAGACGATGATTTCGCTGCGTCATCGCGCTGCGACGCAAGACGCTGCGCTCATCGAGGCTTACGCTGCGCTCACGAAGCAAACGGAGGAGCTTGCGACCTGCTACACCGAGAATTCATGTGCCCACGCGCGCATCGCGGCGCTTGTGGCCAACCACGCGGCTGTCGTTGAGCAATTGGAGCAGCACGGTATGCAGAGCGAAGAGTTGTCGCCGGTACGAGGGCTGCAGGACCTCGTTGCGCGCCAAGAGACGTGCTTGGCAACAATGGCCGAAGAAAAGGTCACGCTGCTCGACCACTTGCGCACGCAAGCCATCGAGTTGCAGCAACTGCTCTCGCCGGACGTGACAACGATCGGTGGCAAGGCCGACGACGCGCGCCCGACGCTGCTATTGCACCAAGAACTCGTGCACCAACTCTCGTCGCTCGTGCGCACCTTGCAGTACGACGTGGAAATGTACAAGGCGACGATCGAGACGCTCGAAGCCGACCGCCGCGTGCTTACGTGCGAAGACGACGAGTCGGCCGCGCCGCATC